ATTACTTTCTGACAATCACAGACAAAAACAATCCTGAAGATACAATGTGCAGAATTTGGCATAGTTGTTGTGTCCAGATGCTGCAAACAGGGGTAACATGCCTCCTGATGGTTGCTTTCAGATGTAACTGCCAATTCCCAGTGCACTCTGCACTTATAAACATCCTTACAATGGAAACAAAGTCCATGAACATCAGCCACAGCTTACTTGTCCTTGATAGTGATTTCTTCTGATCTTTCAGTTCAAGCAGTTGCACATGAAGCTGTTTGAGATTTTCATGGGCTGTATTATCAACTTGTGCTTCAAGATTCATGCCTGTCAAGGTCACAACACTTGGTCTCCCCTCTACTTCTGCAATAGTGATCCTTGATCCAAAATACTAAAGGAGGCGGCGTTTAAAATGCTTCAGACTGTAGGGTGAGATCCCAGTAAGCAGATCAGCAGCATACAGATCCAACAGCTACTGTAGAGTGTACAGCTTTCCATTCTGCTTACTTTCTGGCAGCAGCTCACACCAGGAACTGAAGGCTGTGTTCTTAATCTTTCTTGCTGAATCCTCAGGGTTTGTCCTTGCTGTCCTTTCATGCTCATGCAAAAAACACTCCTTGCAATGTCTGTGGTATGTTGCCTCAACTGCACCAATGTTACCAGCAACAACAATGCCAGCTGGAACATCAACTGCCTTATCATCAGATCTTCTCTCACAAAAGTTGAGAACTGTCTCTTGCAGAATACTTTTTTCCCTCTGCTGAAAATATTGATATTGCTGATTGCTGAATTTCTATTTGGATGTTATTGAAGGTCTTCCAAATCACTCCCATTTGCACAAATAAGGCAGTGAGTTCAGTAGTTGTTAAAGTACTGTTTCCTGATCTCAATACACATGACTGGGTATTTTCATTGATGTATATTTTGTGAGCTTTCAGTATGGTCGATTATGCTGAGTATGACTTTCTGCATTTTTCATGGACAAAGTTATTTTTTTATATTAAAGAGTTGATTGTAAAGAATCATTACAAAGAGTTAATACTTTGAGTAGAGTGTTCAAACCCTTGCCTCTTAGTTTCACTTCTCCTGAACCATTGTGACAAATTACACGTCATGTTGGAGATCGAAACATATCTGTAAAGAAAATAAAAAAATCAATTAAACTTATGATTAAACATAGGCATATTTGGTCATGGCAATACATATTCTGTGGCCAATTATTATTTAGAAAATATATATAAACCTGTTTCACATCTTATATATTTCACTTACTGAGATACATAGTACACTTGATATTTTCCCAAAACATCTGCATGGAGTAAAAATAAATACAAATAAGCATATTTTGACATGGTTAAATTACAAACAGCTTTCTGTTTTAATAATCAATAAATAGAATGCATATTATGTACATTCACTTAAAGAACAGTGGAAATGAAATGATATTTCATCTAAACTTCAAACATAAAACTTTACTGGTTGTTTAACATGCAAGTTTGTTGCACATGTTTGGTAGTTTTGCAACATTATCTCAAACTTTCTGCATTGATATACTGGGTTTCAATGGAGAATATAAACTCTTTCCCTTGAAATATGTATTGAAATATCACCTAATAAGTAAAATATTCCTGAATTATATAGTTCCATAAAAGATAACACTATCAAAAATATTTTTGCAGGTGATATTCTAAGTAAAACAGTACATTAACATCTGAAGGGTTTTGACATACACATATCTATAATTTGTTGTCAACAAAATATTTTCTGCAGTGTTTGACCTTGACCTCGGCATCAATACAGGCTTTTTATTAACTTGAAAAATAATTACTTTTGGGGACTAATGTTAATTAATTAGGCAATAATAATTTATGTACAATAACAATAAGTGCTATGCCCCTTGTAGTGAGGTTATAATTCAATATAAACAACTAATTATGAAAAGTAAACATAGATGGCTGCAGTCTATTTATAGTAACACCATGAAAAAAGATCTTGAAGTCTTTGATTTGACTCCAATGTGTGTAAAAACTAGCCCAGAAATAACTTGCCAGTATATGGCTATTATTTGTACTGCATGTAACTTTGTAACTGTAAGTTAAAATCATACTTGCAGAATATAAACATTGATTGTTTGGCACTGTCATCATGTTTCTGCTTAGTGGTTGCAAAGTCACCTTCTTCTATTTTTATTTAATATATGTCCATTCTTAACATGTGGATATTGCATCTGAGGGTAAATGGTAAATGTCTGTGTTCAATTTTACTCATACATACCCAGATTTGGTCCACTTTGACAGGAGCTTGGCAGTTGACAGCTGTTTGTTTACATAGCAACGGTGCTATCTTCTTACAACTGTTTTTGTGTAGTTTGCTGAAAACAAAGCATTGGGACCTTTTTTTGGACACCCCCAAAAACATATTTCCCCACTCTTGATTTTTCTTGGGTTTTGTGTACATGATAAATAGACACCAGTGAACAGTATTCTGCAATAATTGGCCTGTTATCACAAATGTCTAGGTTATTTTATTTTGACGTCGATTTCTACTGGCCTAGTTGGTAATGTTTCACTTATCGCCTATACGTTTTCCTTCCATCATTTTCGCAAATATAGTTCAGCTTCTGGTGGTTTAATCTGGACAATGATTTCTGTTTGCATATCTTCCAACTCTTTACTTTAAGGTCAGTGAATTCGATATCACCTGGCAGGTAGACAAGCAGAGGTGTACACAGCACGCTATTACACAAGCTGAACAGTTTTTATACGTACACAATAGTTGACTTGCATTCAAAATAACAATAGTTCATAGTTGTTTGAGTGAGTGAGAGTTCAAATTTCACATCGCATCGGCAATATTACATACCATAGTTGTATGAATAAATGGTAAGATTTGCATATCATACACTTCACAAGCATCTTACATGTTGAATGTGTTAACAAAAGGACTACAAAGTAGTTGTCGGTAGACGGTTGTATCTTCTCTATTTAACAAACGTTATGTTTGGGATTGCACTTTCTCAGTAAAGTGCAGATTCTAGTACTTTTGTAGAATTGAGTCCCATCTGGGGATTCGAACCCACACTCTCAAAGTCAGGCACCTAATCCACAGCACACAAAATTAGCCATCTAACCCACTCTGTTACCGCGGCTTCCACAAAATGGAAGTCAGACAACTGGTAGTCGAGATCACGGACTTTGTGCACCCATCTGATAAGTGTAAATTGACACGGCTCCTACGGCCGAAAGCTATGAATAACACAATGTAATTGAGGATTACATTTTCTCAGAAAAGTGCAGATTCTAGTTCTTTTGTTGGGTTAAGTCACATCTGGGATTCGCACCCACACTCTCAGAAGAAAATCATTCGCATCCTGCTGACAGTCGTCCAGATAGTTTCTCCATGTTTCACGAGTATGTTTAGCTGTATTTTCATCCACAGATTTTCCTTATCTGGAACTTTACATTTACCTCTACATATCCAACTACCAACATAACATATGTAGGTGCTATTTTTCTTCCCAAGGTTATTTCGATTATTTTCTGATAAAACGGCAAAGACACTTAACCGGGTTTGCTGGGAATTACAATGTATAGTGTGTCCTTCAACTACTCGATAAATAAATGGTACTCGAACTTGTCCATTGATCTTACTATTTGTACTTGCAATTTCCTCCACAAAGGGGAGACAATTCTAACATAACTCAAATGCGGTGTTGATTTAATATATATGTAGCAAGCATTATGTGTTCTTGTAATAGAGTGTGATTGGCAACGTTTTCCCTGATACTGTCCATTTTAAGGAAGCTTTACATTCAAACTTTCTAGAAGGGGAGTGTATTGTATGACAGTAGAGATTCTTGTAAGTATATTGTTACTGATTGCCAGAGGCAGTAAATTGATTCAGGAAAAGCTAATAGTTTTGGTTAGCATATGATTTCCAAACTGAAATGGAAACGTTAAAGCAGACATTGGGATGCACAGGACACAATTGTGGAAGGAATACTCAATACAATAGTTTTAAACACATCGTTTTAAGGTTTACAATCAATAAGGTAATATACCTCTCATCAAAAGTTTAGACTCACTAGTGTAAATATAGCCACTTACGTCAGGCAACTCTTCTAAAGTAAATTTTTCACACATATGCCAAACTGTCTAAAGGTACTGTGTACACAAGAGCTGATGTATTGAAAAGATTATTGTCATGACTTCAGTAAATGATGAAAATCAGTGAAAATTGGTGAATTCTTAACAAAACTTTACACCACAACGCAGCTGTTCTCATACACGATATTTGCACATGATTTTAGCAATTTGATGCATGACCCTCGTGCAGTTCAGCTGCATAACGGTTGCTGTTGGTTCCCCCAAGTTAGTGGAGAAATCAATCTTCGATGTAACTACACACACACACACACACACACACACACAAACACACAAACACACAAACACACACACATACATACATACACATACATAACATATAGTGAGTGTTGTAAGTGAGCCTAAACTTTTGAAGAGAAGTATACAGTTGGTATAATGTGTTTTCAAAGACATGTATGCGCCCCTAGAATTAATGTTTTTTTAGAATAATGTCACCGTTCAGAACGGTCAGGGTTGTCATTTCCATGTGCCCTATAAGGGCAGATATTGCTTTATACAAGTCAAAAACGATTCTGAAGAGCTCGTTTCTTGGTATACATTAGTAGGAGATGATGGCGAATTCTACCAGGGAAGGGTCAACTTGTAAAAAAAGAACAGTTATTAGTTGACTGTACAAATGATAATCAAGTCAACCTAAGGTTACTGACATACGCTTTCCACCAATACGTGGATATGCAGTAGATATCTTAACGATTAACGTACTTCGTGACCAGCTTGTCGATACATGAACACAAAGATGTTTCCATAAAATTGCTGGAAATGACATACAAATTCTAATAACATGTCAAGATATTCGGGTTCATGTCTTCAAAAGGAGAGATGATTAATAAGCTATATTTGTATTTTCAGACATCATTGTTAACAGCTTGCTGGAAGGAATTGTTTCTTTTGGGAATTGTACAGTGGGGGCTGCCGTTGGATACTGGGAACAAAATGGTGTGGAGACCCCGACTGGAGGCTGAAGACCCATCTACGAACAATGAGATGGATAGACTAAATGAGACGGTTGGGAAGTTTCGGGAGATGAATCTCGACCCAACGGAGTTCACGTGTCTTAAAGCCATCGCTCTGTTCAAATCAGGTAAGGTCTGCCTGATGCATTAACCATCTGTTTTCATTGCAAGTATAAATTACAAACGATGTAGTATTTGTTTTCACTATAAGCGTAACTTGGATAGGACGTAATATTTTTGGCGAAACGATGTATCAACATTTCACCACATCCATAATCTAACAATTTCCAAGTAAAGATTTGATATGAATATATGTTCTGTTGGAATAAAACGAAACTTTAGTTGGTTATGTTACTGGAAATATTTGTTACATTTCATGTATTCTGACTGTGTAGCTCAGATAGCTAACTGCTATGCCTCACCTCTCCGCAGACGCCCCTGGATTGAAGGACAGCAAGTCGGTTGAGGCATTGCAGGATCAGGCACAGCTCATGTTGTCGGACCATGCTCAACTCAACTACCCAAGACAGGTCGTCAGATTCGGCCGTCTTCTTATGTTGTTGTCAAGGTTACAGGGTGTCAGTAATATGACACTGGAAAGAGTGTTTTTCCGGGGTATCGTCGGCAATATCAGTATCGAGAAGCTCGTTGGAAACATTCTACACGGTGATGTCGTGTAGTGTCAGTCAGCTTTTCATTAAGAACGTATATTGCAAGACCTTGTTTTCATTTATTGTTTGAAAAGAGTATCACATATTCATTCGCTTATCCACAGACTTGTGGTACGAATTAGCAAGTATCACGTGATGTATATGTCACCAGTTAACTTGTAACAACGAAGACGAACAACAGGGACTGAGGCATATTGAACCCTTTCAGTACCAGGAGACACGAACACTAATCTGACAAACTGTATCTTTAGGCAAAGCATGGAACTGTTCTTCATGAAAATGTCATTTGTGGCAGTCACGATCCTGACTTTTGCATGTTCCATCATAGTGCAATGCGCCTCTGCTACTATTAAATATCATTCTTCAGCTACCTTAGTAAATAAACACGTTGTTGAGCAAGAGTTACTATAAATATTGGAATTGCCTGTATCTGCATATCGAATAGTGTAGTCAATGTTTAGCCATTTTCACTGTACGAACATGAACGGGCTTTGCACCTCTCATATGCCCTGACATGAATATTTTTGTCGGTAGTGAGGAATCTAGCTCACGGATAATAATCGATATGTTCTGTGAAACATCTTATACTATTCATATGTCGTATATATCAGGAAATAGCTTTTGAAACAGGCAAAGAGCGCAGACACTGCGGCCATGTTTGGAGTTTATATATCCGAAATAATTTACATTCTACGTAATAGAACAATAAATATGATTTCACACTATGTGTATATCTTATGTCATCATTGCTTATATTCTTCTGTGAAATTCTGTTGTTATGAAATGTATCTTGCACAGTCCAGGCCTACATTTGTCATTGGTGCAATGTTCAGGTTGCTTAAGGTATGTTGCCATAATTTGAGCGACAAATACGATATTAAAAACGTCCGGTTATATCTCAAACATGAACATAATAAAAGCGCTTAAGCCCGTATTTGGATCATGTGATAAAACGAACGGTCTACATGCACTACTCGAAGGAACAATATTTCCCAAATTTAGCCATGTGAGGGAAATAACGTATCACCCGAGGCCCATATGTCCAACGTTTGAAATGTACCTATCATTTGAAAGCCATACTACATTTGTTTCGCAAGTCATTTACTATAAGAGCATTTTGGGAGTCTATGAGCGCGTATGATAAATTTGTTGAATTCAGACAATACATGTACGTTAAAGTAATTGCCATATTTCTAAAGTGTGTATTTTCCAAGAATGTTTGAAACAGTGTGTGAATACATTTTTTTCCATTTTCGTATCACGTGACAATAAAAATGTTGTAGGCCTATATTACTGTATAAAATCTGTCTATCTGTCTGGCAAACGTGTGTAAATATTGTTATCGTTTTCATATATTTATAACGTCTGAAATAATTGGGAATGGTGTTCAATTTTGCCACATTATACCCTTGTAATCGTGTCGGACCAGGTTTAGATATATTCTGTATTTCATATTCTCTTAAATGCTCGGCCATACGTAATTGGAGTGTTACCACATTGACAGAGATTATCCTTTATTTTAGTTATCCGGCAATATAACTGCCTATGTCACCAGCAAATGGCTCACTAGCGTAGAGCATCCACGTCGGTGGCCTAATGAGGTAAAAGGTAATATATTTCGTGGAGATGCACTTTTCCAAAAGAAAATTCAAGTTTGAATATTTGTTAACCCTGACTTCGTCGACGCACTACATTGAATTGATACCAGCTTTTAACGAAGCAAAGGCTTACAAAGTGAAAATTGATATAAGTATTCGATATCAAAAACGATATAAATATTTGATACGACTGAAACATGCTAAACGTATGGTTACACAAACCGACGCGTTTTTTCAAAGAGGGTGGGGTGGGGTGAATTGGAACCATTTCTTAAATAATCTAATGACTATACAGTTGCACGGGTTTTTGTGCATAAATATTTTTGGACAGTGTGTAGCTAATGAATGTTAAAGGATATCGTTCCTGAAAGCTGTGTCTTCCATACACGGTACATTCCTTTGGATATGTGAACATTACGGAAAATGAGCATAGCAAATAAAGAAAAAGAGGATGCGCTATAAATAATTTACACACTAAAGCTACATGGGCATACTAGTTATACTCTCCATTGTGTTGGTGCTTACTTTACTGAAATCTGACTCGTAATTTTGTCTTACGACTGGCAGCATGCACCTGACAAGAGTTACATATTTTCCCCCTTTTTTCCAAAAATACAAATACTAATATTATTAGTATATTAGATTATGGTTTAAACATGATGAGGATACCTGCGAAGAGCAAGCCCCTCCTGGTGAGTGCTACGTAACGCTGTTAGTTTTTCCTATGTGGACCCGGGATAGAACAGGTCCTCAGCATCCCATTGCTGGTCGTAAAAAGCAACTGAATTGGACAACCTGTTTGCCGTGGGTTGCGCCCCTGTGTCGGTGGAGGACGGGAGTCTGGTGGTTGAGGGCACTTGGTTCCTTTGCCCTGGTGGTAGAATGGGTCCTGTTCTATCGATTGGATGCTCACGAAACTTCCTGAGCATGTAAGTATTTTTGCACCCTTTTTTCTAAAAGTTATCGTTTGGTCTTAGCTACTAACATTTGCTAAAAGCACGAATTACTCATTTCTTAATTTCCTAGATTCCTATGTCCGAAGGTGGTGGCTCATGGGCCAATCTGGTAGGACATATCTTTTCAAGATATTTTCCTGCTTGGGTATACATACCCTCATGCTATCTTTGGCATTGCCTGATGAAGACACACAGATGTAAGACACTCAATAGTGGATAGGGAGCTTGGAGGGTGAATCACATATCTTTCTACCATGGCCTCCTCACTAAAAAATCTGACGATTCGGGTTTTTTCGGAGGATGAGGCTCCTGCAGTATGGGTTTATCAATATTCCAGCAACATTACGGCAGGGTACACAGAAATGGGCGTGCTGGAAAGTGATAAGACAGTAATCTTGTACTAAAACTCCTGTCGGTATCAGCTGTCTGGCATTTAACCTTCTATTTCTAAGGTTGGCCTAATTGAAATCCAAAATTTCGCAACTAAGGCATCAATGTATTATTCCATGTCCAGAAGCAAAGAAATTTGTTTTAGCACGAGAACAATCAGGTCCGACATATTTTACAACTGTTTCTGCATCTCTTCAGGCCCCAAAATATAACCATATTTCATGTAATTCTACTGGTTGCCAGACTGACTATAGGTGGACAAGGACTTCTACTCCTACCTTGCTATCTGGCGAAGTCCAGGCGAGGCCTCTACAAGTGACCTCCAGTTCACAAACCATGGTATTATCAATAAGAGGTCATTCAATCCAAGGCATCTTCAGAGAAGGATTCATCTACATCTTAGAAACAATCATCAAGTTCGTGCACAAATGTAAAAAACTAATCCAAACCCAATACCGAAACTTCCAGATAAATTCAAAGTAGCAGAACCATCTAAATATCACCATGTCCAGCTTTTGAATAAGTTTCATAGGACTCACAGTTTGTCACCCACAAGGAAGAGGAGGGGTAGATTTTCTGTCGATCCTCCGAAGAAATAATGTCTTCACCTGTAATACAGTGGAATAGTAGAGGACTTACTTAAGTGATTCACAACACTCTGCTTCCAAGAATCCCAGCAAAAGCAGAACTAATTTTGATTTAATGTATTTCACTATTCTGGGACAGGGCTACTGGAAGCGATTCGATCCTGGTCCCAATATGGATACAATGTGTGAATCCCTTCCCTGGTTTTCCCTGCCGTAATAGTACTGGAATATTGCTTAGAGCGGCGTAAAACCACACACACTCACTCGTCGATCCTGGTAAGGCATAATGTTATTCATAGAACGGTTACACTTAAAACAAATTTCCAAGCCGTTGCAGTGCGGCTTACATTGCGTGTTGCATTTACTCAGTGCTCATTGTACATTCAACCTTTGTTTGCTGTTTTACTTGCTCATCTGTAAAATCTTGACGATCAACAGACTGTCTAGCAGCTGTGTGGATCGTGGATGATTTGAATGGCCACAACCCACACTGGGGTGGTACAACTACAACAACTAAAGGTAAAATACTTATGAAGCTCATTGCAAATAATGATTTATGCATTTATAATGAAGATCCCAACGCATATTTCCATCTTGGCACAAGAACGTATTCAGCTCTTGAGTTGCCAATTACGAACTCAGAACTACTGAATAAGTTTGAGTTGTCAGTCCACGATGACCTCCCAACAACTCTCAAACCTGTCGCCCCATCTGATATTCCTGGCCTTTATAAGAAACTCAAACCTGAACTATTTATCTTTTGGTCCACAATTTGAATAAAGTCAACATTTTAAATGCTAAAGCACGGCGTACCATTGTTCCTTGTCAATTGGCGAAATTCACTAAGTAGCTGAGTTTGAAAACCACGGAACATATGATGAATAGTTTGTTGGTTTCCATGTACCAAACTAATCCAATCTTCTTACTGCAAAGCCGTTTGTCTCAATGTAGAGCTTTTCAAAAGGCAGGCAATTTCAAATTCGCGTGGGCTCGACTCTGTCAGATCATTATCATCAAGGCAGTATTTTGTTTGTATTTTGTTTGTTACTTTATTCAGCAATAAAGATTAAAAGATTAGCTAAAATTGTAAAAGATTCTATTGATGGGTCGTGGATAAAATATCCATACTATTGATAGGCAACTGCAATTGTGTTTACATAAAATTGAAATGGACTCAAATTTTCAAAATCTAAAACAAACTTCATTCACCTTTGTCAAAACTTTAAACCACACAAAGACCCGGATTTAACTTCCTGGGTATTATTTTCGATCAACACTTGACATTTGGCCACATATAAAAATATTTGAAGAATAAATGCTTGAAGGCACTTGATATATTATTATACGTTCTTTCAAACTTGAAGGGGCTCGGAAAACCCTCTTTAACTTGTACAGAGCCCTGAACTTGACTATGGCTCCATCATTTATGGTTGGGCTTGTGAAAGTAAATTAAAACAAGACGTCATCACTATCCCCGCAATGACAAAATACTCTTCGTGAGTGTGTCAACTAGTTATGACTATGTCAAATGTTTTGGCGCGTATATAGCAAAGTGGAAGGAGAGTATTGAACGGTTTTTAAGCTCTGCTCCAGAAAGGAGCACTACCACCAAATCCAAAACTACCAAAAGGCACCTGTTCACTACCACACCTATCCATATGCCAAGTGTGGAGAAGAAATATTGAACGGTTTTTATGTTCTGCTCCGGAAAAAGACGAATATGGACGGACGCACGAACGGACGGAGTCCAAAATATTACGCCCGGGTTGCGGGGGATGATTATTAGATTCTGTTCATCATCATGGCTCTGTAGCTGTTCAAACACACAAATATGTTCAAGACTCACTTTGACCTTGACATGAATGTCATGGTGTATGAAATATGCACACAAAAAGTAATACAGAAATTGCTTATCAAAAAAACATTCAAAAGAAGTCTTGACAGTCTATGAAGAATATCCAGTGAAACGTTCTTGAGATATCTTGTTGACAATCTTAACATGCTGAAATCTTCAAAGTGTCCCTATATGAAGCTTGGTGTCATATGTGAAGAAAATCCAGTGAATGGTTCTTGAGGTATCTTGCTGACCAGCTTAACATGCAGGTTAACATGCTGAAATATTCAAAGTGTCGCCGTGACCTTGAAAATTCGGTGAAGGTCACCAAAATTCGACTGGGCTCTGCGCAAGATGACG